TGATGATTTGATTTGCATAATTTTCTAGCAATAAAGTCCGTACAAAAGTGATTGTTTTATACATATTCTTCTTTTTAATGCATAATTTTATCCCCTGTGGCTGTCATTATGCATTAAGTAAGTAAGACATTTCCAGAGTGAAGATCTCTCTCTCTCTCGCTCTCTCTGTGCGTTGCATGCTGGGAGTGAGTGAGCGTTGTGAGCGAGCGTGAGTGGTGACTCGTGTTTGAGCTTTTTTTTTATCTTTCTTTTTTTCTTTCTTGTTTTTTTTTTTTTTGGGTTTCGTAGTTTGGATCTTTTTTCTTTTTGGGGTTTTTGCTTTTGTAGGGGGTGGTTTGGGGTGTAGGGGAAGCATGGCGGATGCAGGTGTGCGGGTCTTGAGCTCACTCACGCGTCGTCACGGTGTAAAAGTGGCGTCTGCAGTGAGTTTGGAGAGCTGTTGTTTAGCTGTGGGTGAAGTTGTGGGAAATAAGAACGTATTGTCTGCCTCAAGGATGAATAGTGCTATCGTTATCTTTTTAAGTACAATAGAAAAGGCTAACGAGTTAGTTCAGAGAGGAATTATACTTGATGGCGTTCTTACCCCCGTTTTACCACTTTCATTATCGTCAAAAAGAGTCACTCTCTCGACCGTACCGCCGTTTATTAGTGATGATGTATTAATGCAAGCATTGTCTCGCCATGGAAAAGTGGTCTCCTCGTTTAAAAAAATTCCAATTGGTGGCATTTCTCCTCTACTGAAACACGTGGTGTCGTTCAGACGCTCAGTTTACATGATTGTGAACAATGACGCTGACCTAGACCTTGCGCTGAATTTCCGAGTGGATGATTTTGAATATGTGGTGTTTATAACCACCGACAGGATTAAATGCTACGGCTGCGGTAAGGTCGGCCATCTGGTCCGAGCCTGTCCCAGCAAACAAGGAACGGCTAGCGCGGAAGGCGCAGCTAACGGCGGTGAGCTACCAGCCGATGAAGCAGCCGAGGTGGAGTCAGCGGTGGCACAGGGGGGCGATTGTGATGGCGCTCATAGTGCTGGGACTGCAGAGAACACAGTGGTTTCAGTGCAGGAGGAAATCCAA